CCCTTTGGTCAGTTTGGATCAACTGTTCTGGCTGTGCCCCTATCAGTTTCTTGTGCACCTGGCAGAGCATGTGAAGCTGAAAAGTCCTTGACTAAGATAAGCAGTACTCAGCAACAACTAAAAACATTAGTGTGTTATCAACATTCTTCTCCTACTAAATCCAAAACACAGCACTGTGCCTGCTACTAGGAAGAAAATTAACTCTATCCCAGCCAAAACCAGGACAAATGGGAATTGACTTCAGGCTGTGGTTAGACTTCCCTGCATATTTTCTCAAAGTAACATCCCTTGGTGCTGCTGTCAGAGACAGAATGCTTGGCTAGGTGGATGACTAGTCTGATTCAGTAGGGCAGTTCTTATATTCCAGATTAAATATTTTTCTCATCATACTAATGAATATATTTAACTTCTTACATTTTGCACTGTACTCAAAGGCTATTAAACAGGAAACTGATTTAGTCTGGACTTACAGTAGTGTAGTAAAGGCAGTGGCAAAAGGTACTGTTTTCAGTGATACTCAAAAAGAGTTTTCTGTTTCACGCTTGCTGATATGACCTTACCAACACAATTCTGTTCACATTAAATGCTTTATTTTTTCCATCAAAATAGTTCTTTAGTTTAACATTTTTCATTTCATTAAGATTTCATTGAATTAAGAATTTCTAATAAATCCCACACATTGCGCATCCTTCTTATGTATTCAGTGATTAATAGAATAGATTCATCTTTATAGCAAATTCTTCTTCTTTGAAAGTACCTGTGCAGTGCTGCTAATAAAGGGGTACATATAGTGTTTGAGTGCCGCATAAATGTTTCTCCATTGCAAATGATCCATTAAGTTCCATTACACTTAATGAAAGGCATGTTTTATAATGAGGCACCAGAGGAGCCACCCCACGTTTAATTATTGTGTGTGTCTGTTATTTTCCTACCCCCTCAGCTTTTTAAAACCCTTCTCTTTTGCTCTTTGACAATGTACTTCCTTCTAAGTTAAGAAAAGACATAGTTGTCATTGTAGTAGTTACTCTTTCAGACCTTGCCATGTTAATTGGGAGCATATTTTGAGGAGCAGTTTAAGTTAGCACAGACATCTGCAGAACTTGTGGTGTATGTCATTTATGATTTGGAAGGGATGTAGGTTCATAACACTAAGAAAATCATGCTGTCTGCATTCTTCATGCAAGGCAGATAACCCTTGCACCTGAAGTGCTATTAATGGGATTTCTGTACACTACACCTGTGGCTTTCCAGTATTCCTAATTAGTTGTTTCAGTTCGAGATGACTGTAAACAGACTGATGGTGGTGGTGGGGGGGGAAATGCAGAGGTTATAAACATGAGTAAATTCAGAGTGGATGTACACATTAAGGAGGTCTTGCAGCTTAACAGCAAGTGAGAAGCTACTTTCAGGCTTCCTTATTTTGAAAATGGGGAGGGTAATGAGACAAGGCAGGAAGTGACCAATGCTTTTAGACAACCCTACTGGAAGACATGAAATAATGTGTGTTTACCCTCTTAGATGATAGTAAATGTTCTTTTCTTACAGTGATAAAGACTTGTGAGACAACCAACCGAAACTCGCATTTCTGGCCTTCTCAGAGGCAGTGTTTTATTTTATAATGAAAATTGATCTCTGAGAAGAGAAGGAAACTGGGAAGACGTCCAGTTTCAGATTCCTAAACATTGCGTAGTGCATACACTGATAATGAGCGCCATTAAAGCAAAGCAGGTTGATGGAATCACTTGCTCCTTGTGGTGGACTTGTTTGGAAGAACCTGTGCTACTTTACTCTAAGGATGTAAATCTGGTTTTGGATGTCTCTTCAAAATGAAAAGTATGAACAGGTTTTTCCTTTGCATTTTGAATGACGTCTTTTTAATGATTTTTTTATTAGGCTTCCATATATGTGGCTCCTAAGATAAACAGGCTTAAAATATTAGAATTGAATTACAGAATCCATACTCTGGTTCCAGTTTGAGTGCTTTGTTAGAGGCAGTTCAGTCTAGCTGATTTAACTGACTACTGAAATTGCAGCTGTTTTGGGAATTGTGTGTTACAGCTTGTTTGCAGCATGCCCTGTCATTCCCTTTCTTCCCAGCTCCATGCAGCCCTTCCTTAGCTTTTGGTGGGTAGTTGCTTCCTTTACCTGCTTAAATTTGGACTTGAAGTTCACTCTATTTGTGTGGCTAATACCTTTCCTCTGGTGGGACCCTTCATCTGTGCTGGACAGTGTGCTCTGAGCAAGAGTTCTTAGGGAAGGGTGGTTCTTCCTCTGTCCTTCAAGCTCCTATTTGGGAGAGGCAATGACAGTTCTTCCCAGCCTCCTGCTCCTTAGGTATCAGGTACCCACTAGTTGTTTCCTGCAGTCCTCTCATCCTTGGGTAAAGCAGATAGAAAGGAGATTCCCCAGGACTTTTTGTCTTGGGCTCTAGTAACATCTTCAGGCTGCTCTTGCTTTTGCTAGCACAGTTTGCTCACTGCAGTTTGGGAATTTGATTGCAGGTGAGGGCTGACAAACCTGCAGAAGGCAGAGAGTGTTATCGTGGGAACTTGTCAGTGGTCTTCTGTCACAGAACAGCTCAGTGAGACAGTAGTTAATGACAGAGTTCATTATAAGTCTTTTCTTTAGTAATACCAAAAAAAGCTTTATGGAATCAGATGTTTATTATAGATGGAAAAATGAACATAAGGCAAGAGCAACATCCTGATTTCTTCACTTCTGTTGTAATTTTTAAGAAAGTTGGTATCAGTGAATAGATCCAGATTTATCAGCTGCTTGGAAAATGTCTGGTATGTACTGCTTTTCCAGAAGAGCTGCAATTTAAACAAAGATTTAAATCCTGATAGCACACCTGCGTAGCCAGCAGGTCGAGGGAGGTGATTCTGCCCCTCTACTCTGCTCTGGTGAGAGCTCACCTGGAGTACTGCGTCCAGCTCCGGGGCCCTCATCACAAAAAGGACATGGACCTGTTGGAGTGGGTCCAGAGGCAGGCCACAAAAATGATCCAAGGGCTGGAGCACCTCTACTACGAGGACAGGCTGAGAGAGTTGGGGTTGTTCAGCCTGGAGAAGAGAAGGCTGCGAGGAGACCTTATTGCGGCCTTCCAGTACTTAAAGGGGGCCTACAGGAAAGATGGTGAGAATCTTTTTAGCAAGGCCTGTTGTGACAGCACAAGGAATAATGGATTTAAACTAAAGAAGAATAGATTTAGACTAGACATAAGAAAGAAATTTTTTACAATGAGGGTGGTGAAGCACTGAAACAGGTTGCCCAGAGAGGTAGTGGAGGCCCCATCCCTAGAAACATTCAAGGTCAGGTTGGACGGGGCTCTGAGCAACCTGATCTGGTTAAAGCTGTCCCTGCTCCCTGCAGGGGGGTTGGGCTAGATGACCTCTAAAGGTCCCTTCCAACCCAAAGCATTCTAGGATTCTATGACTCATTCTATGATTCTGTATACTGTAAGAGTTCAATCTTTAGGCCTGATTTACTCATTGCCTGAGTGATATGCAATAAACTAGTGGTTTCATTTTACATTCCATAATCTGAGGATGATGGATTTTGGACATAATGCAACGTATTTCCATATTAGAATACTTCGGTGCATACTAGAAGGTTTCTTCTCAATGTTGGTGAATTCCAGTTGAACCATAAGTAAAATGACATATTGTAGGATAACAGTGTCATTACTTCTTGCAGACAAAAACAGTTCAAGAATCTTGTGCTTGATAGCTTTCAAAGAGGTGTATTGAAAGCTGGAGAAGGACTTCAGCCACTCATAGGAGATGCCAAAAGATAAGGAGAATTCATTATTTGCAGTACATTTCTGTGCAGAAGCCGAACTGGAATTCGACGCATAATGCAAGAGTGTTCCTTCCTTGAAAGGTTCTGGGTGCCCCCTCTAATATGAGTTTAGGGCTGTGTGAGAGATTGCATGCTATGGTTACAGCTCATCGCTGTGGTGGGACAAACAGGTGCGAGACTGAGGTTAACACAGTCACACACATTATTACACTTTAAACCTCTAAAATCTCCTTCAGCACAACAATTTAAAATTGTGGTGAGGGGGGCTTTTGGGACACTGAGTCAGAAAGGCTTCTTGTACGTTGCGCATTTTCCCTGCAGCTGGATTTGTGATGTAGTTGCTTGCTTTTCATATTCCCCATCATTGGTTAGTGATGTGAGCATTCAGCGTTACCTCTAAAGTGAATGCTATAAGTTGTTTGTTTTCTGTTTTCCTCTTCTATGAAGGAAAGTGAAGTAACCAAAGAAACCTCATTTACCCATCTTTGACAGCTTAGTTTAGCGAGGGACAAAAATCTTGCTTGTTTTTCAGTATGATGATAATGAAAACAATAAATGGCTTCTTTCTCCAGCAATGAGAATATTGCGCACATAGATGTCTGGGCAGCTGTTTAGCTACTATTTAGAACGTCTGTTAATTGAAAATGGCCCCTCAGTCAATATATGCCACTATCTCTACTGGGTTACTTGGAACCAATTTCTACTAACTAAAGATTCTCTAGAAATGTTTGCTAGTAATTTGCAGGAACTAATAAACTAATGTCGCTTTTAGTAAACATTTTATTAAGGCATTTCCTTTCCTAAATTAAGTAATAAACAATTTATTTTCTTATGTTCTGCAGCAGAAAGCCTATGATATGAAGATAGATCTAAATTTAGCACTAGTTGAGGCTTCTTGCATGGCTTATAGAAAATAAGATGTTGGATTTGGATTAACTAAATTGGACTGCTGTCTGTTTAAACAAGTTTTTTATTCTGTCCTTCTCCTTGGTAGTTTCATGCAATGGATACACTGCATAAACACAACTATGATTTGAGCAGTGCCATCAGTGTTCTCGTGCCACTTGGAGGGCCTGTCCTGTGTAGAGATGAAATGGAAGAGTGGTCAGCATCAGAAGCTAGTTTATTTGAAGAGGCATTGGAAAAGTATGGCAAGGACTTCAATGACATTCGACAAGACTTTGTAAGTACAGAAGTAGTACACTTTTCTGTTACTGTGTTTTTGCATGGGTGAGCATAACTGCTTTCTGTAGGTTTAGAAGATTAGCTAGAGAAGAAATCTGTGTAGCTGATATATGTAATTAACATACATATACATTTTGTCTGGATGAAAGTCAATATGCTTTCTTGTTCAGTGCCATTCTTATGAAAGATGTTGACAGAAGATAGTGTATTTAATGGTTTAGTACCAGGTAGGACATCTCATGCTGATGTGTTTTGATAAGGATTTTTACAAGGATTTTACAAGCATCTGAAAAAGCTCCAGCAGCTTTTCAGAACTTCTACTGAAATTCATTAGCAGCTACACGGCTGACTCGCCTGAGTGTTTTTGGAAAAGCTGGGGTTTCCTTCTGTAGTTAGCAGAGAGAAATTTATATTCAGATAGCTTTTAAAGTGCACTATAGGGAGTTATTTTGACATATTAGGTATTTTGGGACTTCTGAAAAGTAAAGGAAATGTTTTCCAATATGTTCTAACTACACTGGTTTTGCTACTGAAATATCAGACTATAGGGCAGCAAAGCTTTAATTTGCTGAATTCTGATGCAGAGTAATTAAAAGAAATTGATTCTAACACTGATTGCTGGAACTGCTAGTAATTTGTCTGCCAATTTTTTTTGCATGTTTCTTGGAGAGCCTCTTTCTTTCAAGGGAAAAGATTTCCTCTGTTGTAATAAGTTCAAGTCGGGCTTTGTGAAAAGGTTAGGATTTGAGCCAAAGGAGTTCCATTATTTAAGATTGAAGTCGATTGAAGCATTTTCACAACAACTCATTCTGCTTTGAGAGCTCAGATTTTTTTTTTCTTTGCAGATGTTACTAATAATCTTTGTGAGGGGAAAATGTTACTGTATGGTAAATATGGAAGTCCTTCCAAGACGGAGTGCAGGACAGTGGGAGGAGGCTTGGCACTGAGCTTAAGCTGTCTTTTTTTCACTTTCACAGTTCTGAAATGAAACAGATAATTGAATGAAGGTGGGAAGGGAAGGCTATTGTTTTTCTGAAGAACTGACATTTTAACAGGTGTAATATATCTGTGTGTTATTTTTGAGATTCCTAAGGGAGAAAATGTTCACTGCATCCATCACATAAGGTTGAAAATTGCATCATGGATGAAATAGCTCTGTTAAGTTCAAGAAAATATGATTGGAAAAGAGTATTTTATAGAGTTTTAGAACTGAAATTTTAATGTAAACTACAGTTCCTTATTATTTCTCATACAGATAAATGGTCCTCAGCTGTTATTGTACAATAGTTCGGTAGCTGTGTCTTTTAACTAAATGTCTCCTAATACATAGTATTTGGCTTTTCAAAATGCCTGAAGCATATATTACAGATTTTATTGGCTGTTTACAAGTTGAGTCCTAACACAATTTGTGACCAAGTATACCTTAGCCTTGTCTTTGGTATTTATGTAGTTATTTTTATTATCTGTATAATTTCTGTGTTACATTACATGTAGTTTTGTTGATATGCATGCATTAGAGTGATACAGTGGAGTAATGTGTTGCAGGAATAGCTTATGTGTTTGTAATGTTCAAATGTTAGATATTTGAATGAGTCTACTAGAAGCTGTTTAAAATGTTCAGATTTTATCTCAGGTACACTCCTGATACCCTCCTTCTTTCACTGAATATTCTTTCCCAAAACGCAGATCTTTTCCCTTGCCCTCCTCCCAAAGTGAGACACACACGCAGACCTAGAGATAGGGTTGCATAACCTACTGAGGGCACATTAATGATGACTCAGAGTGCAGCAGAAATGGATGTGGGGCGCTAAGTAATTATAGTCTCATTTAGTTAGAACAGGGATGTTGTCTATCCTTAGTCACTTTTTTTTTTACCTTTGGGAAAGTGGCATGTCATTTTTAAAACATCATTAGAAGAGCATCTATTTTACATATCAATTTATGTGGTATTGGTAACAGTGCACACAGTCTTGATCTAATTCTGTGTAATTTGAAATCTTTCAATTATATGAACCATTGTGTAATCTTGGGATATCTTAATTTCTCTAGAGTAAAATTTGTGTGTTCTCACTTGCTATGTAGCATTCTGGAAGTATAGGGATTTGAAAAAAAAAATTGGTTTTAAGTAATCGTCTAAAATAGTCCTCCAAGATTTAGATGATGGGTATATGAAAAGTTTCTGCAAGGTGAGGTAGGTATAAATATGTAGCATTTAAACAGTGATTTTTCATGAGACTTCATTTATCTATTATCATCCCTCTCTTCAGTAGCGTCATTGAAAAGTAAGTACTTTTACATGTGATGTAAGAGCATGGACAAAGAAGCTAATGCACTGGTAGCGTACGTGCTAACTTGTTCAAGTGCCCGCGTAGGATCTAATGATAAAATTAAATCCTATGGTGCTTGAGATTAAATCTGAACCTAAGCAGTTACGCGGTGGAGCCACAGTACAGGTAAGACTGTCGTGTTGCATGGCAGAAAGTGGTTGGTAGCAGTCTCCGGAAGAAGAAGGGTTATGTAGTACCTGCTTGAGTCATTATATGCCAGAGGAGTTGCCTTTTCTGAATTGGCCCAGATTTGCAAGGCATGGCAGCTGCAATTGCAGCCCTTACATGATGGTTCTCTAAAGGGCAGGTTCATTTACTTTTCCAGCAATTAGTAAGAACTGGTACTATTTGACATTCAGTGTGCAGCACAAGCATTAAGCTATAAACATTAAATATTAGTAAGCAAGACGATTATTATAAATTAAATAGTGTAAAGGAGTTTACTTTTTTTTTAATTGACAGAAGAAGCTTGTTTGTTATGAAATTACCAGTCTAGCCTTTGAATAATCATTTTCATCAGCTGTTGACTCATCAACTGTTATAGGAGCTCATTTGTTGAGCTTCTGCTGTCTTTAAGAACCTATGTGAATCCTAATCAACCTAAACTTTTTAAGTTAATTGAATTTACTTGATGTACTTGAATTACTTCACATCCCAGGGTAATAGAATGGAAGAAGACTGAATTTTATGTTCTCCAAATAGAACTATTTTCCTAATGGTAAGAGACAGCTGTTATGCTTGTTAATTCTTAGTTTTTCATTATCAACAGTTACAAATTTGTGAAAAAGGTTACATCTCAAATGTGGCAGGAAAGGCCTTGGGAATCAGGCATGAACCATTTATAGAAAACAGGATCAACTGTTTTCCAACTTCAGAAAATTGTGGAAACATGCCTTAAAATTAACATGTTCATTTTAAGATACTTTAGAATCCTAAGTTTTTCCTGCTGGTCTGATTTGAGTGGTCCATTTTTACTCTCAAGAAACTAAAGAAACTGAAAATCCCCTCTACTTGTTTTTGTACTGCTGACAGTTCTTTGATCATTTTCTCCTACAAAAATGTCACACAGACAGTCATTTTTACTTCTTTCAATTAGTGTTCAACAGAATTTGGTAATGAAAGTACATTATTCTGTGGCTGCTCTGGCAGTTCAGAGCCACCTCTGGAAAATTCACGTGCCTCTGCAATGTTTTGTCATTTAAGTGCATAGGTAAACAGAATATAGGATATTCATGCTCAGTCTGTCAAACAGGTTTTCTGAGTTGTGAATCAAAATGTAAAAGGATTATGGTTATCCAGTCCAAGCACCTTAATTATCTTTCGTTAATTGTAGATGCCTAGTGAGTGAATGAACATACTGGTGTCACGATCAGAGTTAAAACAGATTAAAGTATTTTCTAGAGAAATGTCATGCTACATAATCTGTAATATGAATGTGTTAATAAGTGTTCAGGAAAGAAAGTAAAAATGGAGAAGCTAAAATGTGCTAGTTGGCCATGGCAGGTAGTTGGGGTGACAGTGTTTCATCTGGATGCGAGGAAGCTATGGACCTAGAGACTGAGAAGCAGCTCATGTGTCACCTCACATCAAACGCGTGTTCCCATCACTGGCCTTTTCTTGGGCAGATTTCTCTTAAGGCATAACTTACCTGAGAAAGTAAAAGGATTTTAGTAAACCAGATTGTGTTGCTGTGTATTGCAACATCAGCTTAGGCATTTGTTGCACTGCTATGTGTTAAATGCAAATGGACGAAACTGCTATTGTTTGGACCAGGGATTTACACACTGTGGTACACAGCCTCAAAAAGATTTCACAGCTGAGTCTGGAACTGAATCCCAGCTCCTGAAAGGCAGAGGTGGGAGCCAGACTCAGTTCTTCTTAAGTATCTGCAAGCCAGCAGCTTGAAAAACTGGCTGTGAGCTCCTGCATGGTGGGAGGGGCAGCTTGGTACAGTGCTCCTCTGTTGCTTTTAGGAACATAGTTAGAGGTTCAGGAAACTATTCTTTTGGCTTAGGGCATGGAGAAAGCCCCAAAGTGGAATGAATAAGGTTGGAAAGATAACATTTCCACATGTGTATTTCTGGGACTTCTTAAAAATCATCCTTATTTCTGGAGAGTGGAGAATATTAGTGTTAATGCATGCCTCTAGAAAAAAACATGCACAAAATAGTAGCATGTTTCCAGGTTACGAAGAAAAATTGCATGAATTCTGTAAGAGAATTACTAATTTAAATGATAGAAAGAATTTATGGAGTTAAATAGGTGATTTGGTAGTAATTAAAAATGGCTGCTGTATGCTTAATTTTCTCCCCTAAACTTAGGCTAATACATTTTCACTTTACCAATGAACATGTGCACCCAAAATAATAATAGTCATCATCATAATCATCACTTGCCCTGAGTTTGCACAGAGATTTTTGTGTAATACTCATCGTTAGTATCACTCGTGTTGCTCAAAGTAGCTCAAAGTAGCATCCTTTTGTTTCTTGTTTAGTGGTCAAGAGTATGCAGAAGTTTATGCAAATCTAGTGGTATTGTATGAGCAGCTGAGTTGTTATGGGACTTGCAGAACCTGTGAACTAAGTACCATAACCATTGTATTTTTTTCAGAGTAAAATTACCATGAGACTCAAACACAGTTTTGTCAAGATGATTTATTTTAGTCCTGATGTTGTTCTCCATCTGATACACTTTGTAATAGAGATATTACCTTCTGTGTTTCCTGATGAAAATCTGGATTCTGTTTTGATCATTTTCTTTAACCATATGGCTTAAACAGAATAAATTACATTTGGATTTAGATGTGTAGCATTGTTGTAATTCTGCATCTTTGTTAACTATAAGGGAAGTTTGTGTATTAGTAATATGTATTTATTTGCATATGGATTTTAATGTAGGTATTTAATACATTCACATTTTAGTATTTGTGTATCAACGATACTTGATTATAATGTGTTTAATAAGATGTGGACATTGCAATTTCTTGGAACTACTTTAATTTGTAACAAATATTTTTCAGCTCCCTTGGAAGTCGCTGACCAGCATCATTGAGTATTATTACATGTGGAAAACCACTGACAGATATGTGCAGCAGGTAATTTAATGGCTATTTCAGCATGAACCAGTCTGCCATGTTCTTAAAAAATCTGAACTTGTTAAAGCACAAAAATCTGTTTGTATTATTAAAAAGATACATGGTGGGAAGCCTATAGCAGTATTTTAGGCTATAGACCAGTGGTTTTGTGCTGCTCACAGGGTGCACTATCAAATCCTCTGATGCCTACTGTACATCACATAGCAGTGAAGAGCTTTTTAAGCCATTTGTATTGTATTCTGGTTTATAGCAATGTGATTCCTGGTTCTTACTACAATATGGGAAAAGAAGGAAACGGGCTGCAGAGCAACTGCTTTAGGCTGTGAAGCTGTGCATGGGACTGAAGGAAAAGGAATGTACATTGTGTTAAAGGTGGCTGCTAGTGTTACAGACCTTTTATTGATATTCCATGATAGAACATTACTTTGGCATTACCAGGATTTAAAAGTCAAATTGAGAACATTCTGCACACAGTGGATGTGTTTGTCCTTCTGATTGAACGTTCAGTTGTTTGGGTTGCTCTGGAGCAGAAACATGATTATATTGGGTACCCACACTGGGATATTTTAAGCAGGTTACGCAAAATTTCAGTGTTAGTGCTTTTTATATATTGCGCTCCATATAGATTTACTCCTTGATTGAGATATACAGAATATTTATTTATGATTTAACATCTAAGTCTGTAGCTTCTTTACTTGCTGTGTAATTGGTGGCGATGTATGTACTGCATGTTGAAAACAAATTTTATGCTGTAATAATTACAGCTGTATTATAGATGGATCTTTGGAATTGCTCCTGATTTTGTTGCAGTGTGTCAGAACGATGATTGCTGCAGGTTGTTATGGTTTATTTGGAAGTGTTTCTGCATTGTGTTGGTAGGGTATGGAAAGTAAGGGAGAAGTCTTTTACCACATAGCAGAGTCTTGGACTATCACTAGCACCTTCTAGTTCTGTGGATAATACAAAGAGAGAATAATATGCTGTGTATAAAGGCATGTTTTTCTGGGTTTGTCTCCATTCATTTCACTTCTAACACTTTTTTTTTTGCACTGTTAATCTTTATCGTAGAAAGGTATTGCCAGCAGAGATTTGCTGTGCTGTTTGTCAGCTCTTAAGGACTGGGCAACGGATGATCTTGAAGAAGCAAATAAAAAGATTTTATTGATACTGAAAACCATGGAGTAAGGATAAATTGAAGTGCAAATTGACTTTTGTCAATGCTCTTGGGTTGCTCAGACACTGATCTTGTTTTCTGTGAAATTTTTCTGAAATACTTGCTCTGGAGTGGTTGGTGAAAGACTGAGAATCCCTTTCTAAAGTTCTCTAGGGCTTCATTATGATCCCGTTGCTACAACAATCAAGGTGTGTGATGGTGTGCCGAGTTTGTGTATCCTTTCACAGGATTTTTAGCCTCACATATAAGAAAAATACATAGGTGTTATGGTTATCTACAACTCAAATACTCTTACAAATGCCTGTGTTTTACTTGTAACTAAGTAAACTTAGAACATTCTAACTCAGAACATGGCAACACACCACAGGATTTAATGCTTTAGACATGTTCTTTCAAGGTCATGCATGATCATCAATAACAAAACCAGTGTAGGCCAAATACCTCATTTCTATTCTGGTTAACATTTCTGTTATCCTTCCTAAGGAGAGATCAGAACTTCATCCTGCCCTTGTTTAGTTTGTTCTGGAGTGGTAAAAATAATACAGTTCAGTAAAAATGATATCTGTAGGGGTTTTTCCCCCACCAGAACAAGCTGTGATAATTGAATGCATTTCAGGGAGAAAATATGTTCAGTAAGAAAGTGGCAATTTCAGAGTCATTCTTTTCTAAATACCATGCTTGAGGGGTAGGGCAGCTTGGGGGAATGGGAAGACAAAAAGGTTGATGTACGTACTTGAATCTTACGCATAAAACAGTCTCTGAATTCTAGATTGGTGTGATTTAATATGAAAATTTGCTCTTTAATTATCTTTATTGTTTTGTGTGAGTTGTCTGCATTGTGTCAGGCATAAGAAAGGTTTCCTTGTCATAATTTCTACTAAATGTTATTCTTGCTTGGTAGCTAAAGGTGGTGATTTAATAGTAGTGGAGATACTGCTGGCACCTTGCCTTCAGAGCATATTCCCTTCGAGTCAAGGCAAAGGGAAATAGATATGTTAAAGTTCTCAGTCTGTGCTGAACCTGTCTAGCAAAATGAATTCAGGCCTAGGGTAATCATTCTTGGTGATATGGCACTTTTCAGGACCACTACGTTATATAGCGTTTGAGGAAGGCCAGGTGGCTCATTCCACTGAATGAAGCGTGTTGTTCTTATTTGTGGTGGTGTTCTTAAAAATCTGGTTCAATGCAAAAAGACTTACTGAGACTTTGCAACAGAAAAAGGGAGAACATATGTAAGGATAACTAAATTACTGTGCTACAACAATATATTACATTTCCTTCTGATTTATTTATTTTCAAAGAGT